CCCCACTGCATGTTGTTTGTTTCGCATGGGCAAAGCCATCGGAAAATTCAAAATAATAATGGAATAAAAATACCAAAATGTAGGGGTGAACTTGCTGGTTTGCTGGTTCCAAATCGAGTTCAGCTCTCATAAATCAGAAAACCTGACATATACCAGTGTTGGAAATAGCAGCTGGTATGCGTCGCTTTCCCACACCATTGATTAATGGCGGGCCACAAGGCTATAAGTGCTCTTGGAGAACCCCTGAGAAAAACATAAATAAAGTGCGTTTTTTCGTCAACTTTTTTCTTGGTTGTCCACCGGACAATGTCTCAGACTGGTTAGGTTGTCCGGCACAAATTCTGGTTGTCTCGGACAACCGGACAACGCTTATTTCGAGCACTGATATATATAGCTCTTTGGATCTTGGTTGAGAGAAGCTGCTGCCAGGGACTATAGTAAAATCGATGGGAGGATGGGAAATTGGGACAATGAGGGATGGGGAAAATAACTAGTCCGCAGGACTAACGGCTATGGGGCATTTACTAGTCCTTCTGATTTTTTACTAGTCTCGGACCAACAGACTAGCATTAGTGTCGAACCCTGGTTGTAAATGTTTGTTTTGGTATACGATCGGTAGATAACTTAAGTAATATTTCTGACGTGTTTTCCATGAAAAACACACTTTACTAATTTTAAAATATAAAATATATCATTATTATAATTGCAATTCTGTGTGTAAATGTGTTATTTTCAGCTTAATCTTAAAGTTATGAAGAGGTCTAGGATCTCGTAATGTTAAGAGAAAATTTGAGAAGATTTTCGTTCTTGTAACTAAATTACGATATTTCTGTCAACGGTTTACGAGTCGAAGTTAATGTTAAGACTAGTTTTGTTTCTGACAACAGGCCCCAGGATTGCTTCATCCTGATCTGCCCAAATGGTAGCTCTAGTACTATAGCCCGCGTACATTGACTGCCGCAGGGCTATAGAACATGTTCAGCTAGATTTCGCTGCTGCAACAGTTCCCAAAGTACCCACGAAAAATCGCTTCACAAAACGCAAAATGATCAGGCTTTTTAACACTTATCTATCTACGTGGACATCTCACCTATCTTTTTGAACACTTTCCACAACTTTACACCATGTATTTATGCCTTTAAATTAGCTTTATTCCTCACAAGTCAGCACTACTGGCTGTACAGTTTGAAATATTGTGGCGTGCGAACGCGTGACGTCACCGGTATTGTATATACATGCACCATAGCTGCCATGTGTTTTGCGTCCTATCCTACATTATCCTTCCCCCGGCCTCCGCATCAGGCGTTGCACGCCGTCTACCCTGACGCTTCATCTCTCGTCCTCAACGGTTCTACTGTCCCGGCCATCGCCACAATATTCCGTCACAAAACTCCTCACAGCCAGTGTCCTTCTCTTTCTATCCCCTGCTGCCCCCCTGTGCTGACTATGCTTGATCGAGAATAAAGGCTATTAATAAGAAATAATATTACATGGTGTAAGAGTTGTGGAAAGCATGTTCTAAAAAGAAGAGGGGATCCGATTGGTCTGACGTAGATAGATAATGCTTAAAAAGACTCCTGACCTCGTGTGCGTCTTTGTTAATAGGGCGATTTTTTCCCGTCCGGGAACTTTGTGGACTGTCTTGCTCACGGCAGCGAAACATCTAGACTGACAAAATGTCTCGATAGCCCTGCGGCGGAGTCAATGTATGCCGGGCTATAGTGCATCTAGATAGACTATAGCCCGCGGATCTGCCTTGCGCACGCGGCTATTAGACATTCTGCCATAGATGTAATAGCTACAGCAAATAGTTCCAACTGATGTGGACCAAAAATTTTATCCCAAAACGTAAAAAGGATCGGGCTTTTTTAACACTTATCTATCAACATGAGAATCTCACTATCTTTGTTGAACACCTTCAAATTGACACTTTTGGGGGCCCGGTTGACCAGGAAAAAAAATTAGTCTTACATTAACCTCTTAATACTTAGTTTTCTCTTAAAGCGATGCAGGAAACTTCGACTAAAGGCAGTTTAAGAGAATTAAAAATTCTCCGGTAACTTTTTCTTAACTAGCAGCCGCCAAGCACCACGGGCGCATTAAAGGATATAGACGCTCCCTCCTTAACTTTTAGATATTTAGAAAGTGAAGGATAACCATTTACACGGAACGAATTTTACAAATTATAGGTGAGTATTATATTTTATCAATAATGAATAAAATCGCTCGTGGTTTTTCTTGAAAAAACGTCAAAATCATAATTATCTTACCGCTAATAAAACACAAGATTCATACATTTATAAATGACGTATCGGCATTTGTTCTCTTGTTTCAAGCGCCTCGTCATTGCAACGCTCTGCCAACGATTCTCGCGTCTGTGTTGGTGTCAGTGTGAGAAATTTGTCTTGTTGTGCAGAATTCTATTCAGTGACCACGTCAATATTCATCAATTTATTTATATGTGTTTAGCCCATCATAATATGCCTAATAGTACTGTGGTGTACAGAATAATGGTAGTGATTTGGAAATTTTGTGTCGGATTCCATCCAATTCAGAGCCTTGTGTATGAAGGTTGCCTGGCTATCGTAAGTTTTATTAAGGAAGTTTATTTAAAGTGGTGCTTCTGCAACTGCTCTAAAATTAAGCACTTGTAGCATTAACATTAGACTTAAAATTAATCGGTTAACTTACGAGAGGTTTTTATGGGGGTCTCCAGGGTATTTATCTGTTATTCTCAAAGTTCTTAGCCACTACTGTTGTTTTGTTTTCAAATGCGTTGCTCTGCTTATGATTGTGCACGCCCGGTGTGTCTTCTTTGAGGTCAGGCAATTACCGCATAGCATAATACCGCATTCGTCGAACTAGTAAAGTTGTTGGTAGTGTTATCAAAAAGATAGAGTGGGGGGAGGGGGGCGGAGGGGACGAGCATGATCCATCGTTGATAGGCGCAGTAGGATGTTAGAAAGCCGCAGATTTTACGTTTTGGTGTGTGTGCATTCTCTCTTAGGTAATAGCGATCAGCTTGAGCACCATTTGTTTCTTAGATTATGATCTAATGGCATGAATTTGTTATCTATCCCTTCTGTATTATGACACTGTCCGAGCTAGCGACTCCGTCGGCCGGGCTATAGTACTAGAGAACTCGCAGGGTGCTATAAGTAACCTTAGAGGAGCATATTCATTGGAAAATATCTTCGAACCAGTATTCATGTTTTCACTGTGATCCCTACTCATCACTGACTGGTTGCATAGATACTCACGAACAGCAATCCAATTGCCTAGCGCGTCAAACGCTCAATATTTGCATGTGCTCTGGTAATCAATTGAACCATTCACATTTGGCCACTGGCAAGCTCTTGGAAACAGGTCTCACAGCAATCTTGTGATCCGGAATCATCGATAATTTGATAGTATCGACTATTCAGTATCAGTGCTGTAGTTACTATTAGTTCATTACTATTAAGCTATTTAGTTATTACTTAGTAATTAGTAGCCTATTAGTATACGGATTCCAGTTGATCATAAACAATGAGTGGCGCCCGAAAAACATGCGAACAGTCGGCTGGACAGGTCACGCGCCGACTCGGATCACGCGTCTTAAGCTCGCCTCTCTCTCTCCTTCACTTCTCGCTCTCAGGTTAGATAGGGTTAGGGCTTTAGGTTCTAGGCTCATATGACATTTAGCGCAGTTAGTTTCAGGCGTTAGGTCTAGGGCTTCCTGCTACTTCTAAACTATATATAATAATTACACACAACGACACGACGGCGTCTATTTCCGAAATCTAGCGCCACCGCGCATCTTGTGTCGTTAAGTATGAAAGAATGGACTGCCGTACCCGTAGCCTCGAGACATTAAGATACGGCTGGCGTACCCGTAGCCACTGCCAAACAAATGCGCAAGATTACTGGATCAGTGTCATCAAGATTATATCATGATACGCCTATATAAACATGCCAAAACAAATTATCAATAACAACGACGAAGACAACATTGGATTAGAACTTCACTCACGTCTGATACCACAAAATCATAGCACTCGGAAATCTTTTGGTACAACTCTTTCACGTTGGTAAAACCTGAGATGATCCCGGTAGGGCTGCCTTGGGCTTGTTGCACGTGAAATACTAGTCGTTGACGGGATGTTTCCTGATGATTTCCTTCATTGGGCTGTGGTGTCCCGTTAGACTGCTGTGTCCTAGGTGGTTGTGCTTGAGTGTGTGGTCTTGTCGGTGAGGATTTTGGCTCAGAATTTGGTAATGCAGCCCCGTAACCACTTCCGGCGCCATCTTTGTACGAAGAGTCATGTTTATCCTCGCCGACACCGTGTCCATCCGCACTATCCTTATTCTTCTTTTTACTAAAAAAGGGCATGTTCACATGTACGTTTATAGCGAATGGCGTAGCATGTACAAGTATCGTCCAAATTATATTGAAATCAACGGATCCACCTCACAATCAGTGAATCATAGAAACATCGACATTGACACGGTAGACAAATTTGGTCCCTTAAAGGGATTTGAATCTGGCATCCGAACAGGGTGTTTTGAATCGACACGGTTCATGATCGTAAGAAAAAATATATATACACTGCAGTGGTTTAAACTATTTAGTATTATATAATAATTATTATTTCATATTGTAATTAAATTTGCAAGCACGATACATCTAATGTCGTGAGAACTAAAATGATTAATCTCCCAATTCACCTACCGGTGCCCAAATCGTTCTTTTCAACGCCACCATAGCGGTGATTGGCGGTATCACAAAAAGCTTTTTTTTTATTGGTTATGGCATAGGTTATGGACTCTGAATAGTAAATGTTTCTTGACAGATAAAACGAATCAATCCCACGTACTGTTTCAATTTCAATTTCAATTTTTGGTATAGATGAGCTGTATCTCTATGTGCAAGCCATGAAATTTCATGAAATTTCCAGCGCCTATATAATTATATATGTGTAAACACTAATTTTGAATTTTTATGTAAAATAGTATTTTGGATATTTCTCAATTACTACAAAAGGTGTGAAAGCAACATTTGTTACCACAAGTTAAATACAATTTGTACCAAAATCGTGCGTCAAGATTTTTTTTCACGATTTATATACCAAAAAAAGAAGAAAAAAACTGCATAATAGGCATATATGTTATGCCGTATATTGTTATCGCTCCATTTTAGTGTAAAAATTGCAAAAACTCCCTCGTGTGGGAGGGGGGACACGCCACCTCCCACACCCTTTCTCGCTCTGTCGCTACGCGCCCTCACTTTGTGCCAAAATAAAAAAAACGAACCCCCCCTCCCAATAAAAAGCTGGCTACGGGCCTGAAAAAGTAACACTAAATGCCTAAAATTAAGAGAGAAATTACAGATAAAAGTAATGCTTTTAAACTAGACACAAACTGATACAAATAGAACAATATTATGCTACACATAGCACAACACGCTGGTACAAATTTGATAACATTTCAATATAAATAGCATAACATTCCATAGCTGCTAAAAAAATAAGATAAAGATACATATGAATGCTGGAAGAGCGCAAAATTCGTGGAAAACTAAGCAAATGATTATAGCTACTATTTCAGAAATAATTAATATAACCTAATTAATACAAGTTTAATTAAAAATAATAATACACATTTAGGTTCAACCTGCCAGGATAAAAGTGGAAGCTGTTAGCATAATATAGGGAGACAATTACAATAACATATACTGCTACAACATACTGGTACAAATGACAAATATATATAAGTACGGAAGTATCACAAGATTCTTGCAAAATTGGGAAAAAGGTTGGAAACACAAATGCAGAAATAACGTAACATGTAATTAACATTGTGAGTAAACATAAACATAGCTTGCTATCATAACCTTAATTTGACTTAAATGTAATACAACAACCGCTAGAATAAAGTCAGAGTTACCATATTAGCATAACATTTTGACACAGGATAAAATATTAGTAGAACAGATGGTAGAACAGGGCCGTAGCCTCTGGGGGGCAAGGGGTGTAGCTGCCCCCAATAGATTTTGGAGCAAATTTAACGTGATTTTTTGGTCACTTATCCGTGAAAACCTTGTCTCAGACCCACCCCCACTACGCTATATGGGCGTTGCTCATCATTACACAGTTGAGTCATGAAATTTTGCCCCCCCCCCCCGTAGGAATTTGCTCAGCCTACGGCCAAGTACCGGATCTCAGATATCGGATATCAGGAGTGGATAAAAGATATCTCTGCGGAGTGGCTGACTTGAAGACTGTATAGTCAATTCGCCCTCCCTCGCTGTATTTATTTTTGTGATATTTGTAAAAATGTAATATACTTGAAAGCGTAAATAAATTTCAAAATATAAAATCTAAAAAATCTAAATCCTGATTATACATCGACGCTAGATGGCAGTAGCGATCAGTGTGACTGTCATGGACGAATGTTGACGTGCAATTCTGCATTTTTATATTGCTTTTTGCGGGAAATACCCAATATCAACGTTTCTTGAGGTAATTGACGGCGGATACCAATTAATATAAGCGCGTAAGTGACGCGCGCAAATACGAAGAGAAATGTGAGGGCCGCAGCTCACGGATTGTAAGTGAAATCGCGTGAAATACGCGAGCGTTGAAATGGTGAGAAACATTCAAACAGTAAAAACACACATGCGTCTAACAGCTAAAATGCGTAAACAGAGGAATTGCTCCGACCTGTGATTGGAGGATAAAAATAGAATTCGTGACGTTTCGTTTCACCGGTCATAGCCGCGCGTGTATTAGTCTATGACTATGAGCGGTACCACGCGTGCATATTTACTATAATTAATTAGACTAATCCGTTAATCGTGCTTCAATATAGACTCAAAATTCACAGAGATTAAGGCTAAGACATGGTATGTCTGTATAATATATTCTATAATAGCTAGAATTAATAGAAATGTAACTGAAATCGTTCGCGCCATATGATAGTTAGAATTAATATTAATAACAAACGATGATGCGCATTTTATAGCAATGTTTTACCTATAAAACGAGTGTAAAATTAAAGGGAGAGTTTACTCTAGGTTCTAGGGTTATTTTCAGCTAATTTAGGTTATAATTACGCTACAGAAAAAGTTTCATGGTTCAATCACCATTAGAAATATTATTTTTTTAATGTTTTAAAACTAACGACTACAGTTTGATTGCAACGACGGTGGCGCCACTTAAAGCACACGATCTGATAAGTTGCGCAAAACCACTTTCCAGCCAAGGGCTACAGACCAAGGGTGTTTCTTATTTATTAATTTAAAAGCAAAAGGATTGTAATATCTTATAAACGACATGTAGTTTCAGTTATAATATGGATAAATGTGCCCTAAAATGAATATCGTTCGGTTAAATAGCATTTAGGTATTAATATAATTGCACTTTTGTGATTAGCCCTCGGTCTGTAACGTGCAAAATAAATTGTCAAATACGCAACTTTTTCAGGGTGGCAGCACGGTCGCGGGTGTCATGGCGCCATTCAAATTTCGTAGCGTTGATGTGTAATGTGTGATAACAATTAAATTATGTATCTGGTAACAAATACGTGTGGGTATAGACGATTTGTTATACAGTAAGTACAGTTGTATGCAGTAAAATCCTAGAAGCTACTGTCCCTTTAAATTATTCCGAGTTGTAATGGCAGAGAGAAATCGAAACGGAGAAATCAGCGTTTTACTATTTTTCATAATGCTCGACCGCCTGTATGCAAAATTGGTGAACGTATGTGAAACATTTACTGTGGGACGATCACGACCTGATCAATCGCCCATAAAAGAGGAAAACGTTACAATATACAAAACTATACGCACGCAATGGTGGAAATTGTCGCATTATAAAATATGAACATGAATATACATTGTATCCTTCGCATACATACATACATACATAATACGCTCTTAATACCTTCTTAATATGTTCTTGATTCAGATTGTATACATATAAAAAGTGATGCTTGTAGGTTGTTTCTTCACAGCGACGCTAGATGGCAGCAAGCAACAGAAAAATCGAAATCGTGCATTATTTTTTACGTGCACGAATTTTTATAATCGTGACTGTTTTACCATCGTCTTAAGGGGGAAAAAACGTAACATCCGCCTTTCTTGATGGAATTGAGTGCGGATACCACGTAGTATAAGTGCGTAAATGATTCATGAAATGAGCAACGTACAACGTGGAGTTGTAGCAGCGTGAATATAAATGAAACGCGAACGTCGGAATCCCGAAAGATACTCAAACGCGTAAACAGGCGCGTGGCCTCGGTTCAACGCCATTTTCTTTCGCCTCTCTGCGAACAAGGACATGTTTCTTGGTAGAGATGAATAAGCAAGACCCAGAAGAAGAGCCCTGTCGATTTTAAAGTCTCTATAGGGCCTACCGCCACATTTGCGAAAATGAGGGCCGGGGACCCAAACTAGGATTGTAGGCCTACGGTGATGTGGATCGCTTGCGCAATATAGTTTTACCATGACTAACCATGCATTGAGCAACCATTATTGCAATCAAATCACTTTTGGATGACATAACTTAAGTAATTAATTTAAGATGAGAAGCACCCAATCTGTTTGTTATTATTTGCAGAATACTTGGCGTAACCATTTTTAGAGATGGAACGTGCTAAAACCTGGACAAAACGTAAACCAAGCTAAAAGTAACAGTGACCAGACCACTGAGTATCCCTTTCGCCATTTCAGCACCCATATGGAAAACTTTCCACATGAGTTCGACTCCTAGGTGAGAATTTTTTATTTTGTTGGTTTACAGATCCGCCGACCCGAATTTTCAAGAAAAACGAAAAAAAATAATTGAAAATCTGTATTTTTAGCTCATCTGACATAGTCAGATGCAGCTTGTAGAATCGCATGATCGTCCGTGCGTCCGTCCGTCCGTCAACAGTTGGGCACAAATCTTAACCGCTCGACGTACGGTCACGATATTCGTGACGTGGGGGGGTAATCCGAAAACGAGTTGGTCAAAGGTCAAAGGTCAAGAGGTGTAAAAGAAGGGGGAACATTCACTCCTTAACTTAAGGTATAGGGAGGAAATGCAGAATTGCGGCACAAATCTAAACGGCTCGACCTAGGCTCGTGATAGTCGGTGTATAGCATCATGGTAGGAAAGCCATCACTGTGCCGAAATTGGAGGTTACAGGTCAAAGGTAATGGGCACAGGGCAGATTTTAGACATTTTCTGAGGACATGGTCTGACGGAGCGATTGAAAACTTTTTTGTTTCAGCGGTGACCTAGCATTTTTATGGCATTATTGAAAGGACCATGAAATCTACTTTCTGCTGACATGCGAAGAGTAAGTGTCAGATAACCTTTTGACCCTCAAGAGGAGAGTTAAACATGGATTTGTTGACTGTCTGTTAGAAAGAATTTGACTGCCGGGTTTGCTAGTAGAATCTATACATGCCTGGATGTATGAGGCTACAATGTCACAATGAAATTTCAAAAGCTAAATTTGGTTAAAGAAGGTTTATGCTCCTTAAATCGTATAATTTCTATGGCATTCTGTACTGTCAGTATGTTACATGTAAAGTATGCCACTGCCAGTGGCTACTGCCAAGTGCATGTAGTGGTGATAGTATTGTGTAATTTTTGCCTGCATTAATTAGTTACAGGTGTCAGCTCTCTATTTCAGCCTGCAGGCTTGCGTAGGTAAATGGATGAGTGCTTACCTATTCTGTCTGCAAATAGTTTGTTGCTAACTACGTACGATGGGAGCTTCCATCTTTAATTTTAAGACACTTAAACGTATCGCCATCTCGTGGTCAACTTCATACGGATCCGAACGAACATTCCTTTGAGAAGGTTCCTGATACCATCCCTGTGCCTTCCACTGTTTCGGCGTGTATGTGAACACATTTGGGACTAACAGGGTTTACTAGAATCCGACCACTCCACCACAGAGTCACCTCAGTAGACGTTAGATGAGCGCTGTCGCTCCGCGGCACTTGTTTTTATTCCCGCCGACCTTTTCTCCAAGAAATATGAATAAAAAAAATGTTAACTTGCACAAACAGTTTATAATAAAAGTAAAAGTAATTACAAGTTGAGTTTTGTTTTTATTTAGTTTTCTTAAAATACTTTAATATCATGTATAACAGTATCACTGTATTTTGACTTGTTTAATCTGACAAAACAACAATGATTTTTTATTTTTTTTATTTTATTGAGTCAACAACAACAACAAAAATTCTGTAAACCAACAAAACAAAAAAATGTGGCCCTATATATCTTTCTCAACCCTGCTAGTTCCAGTACTAATGGACACGGCTTCGTGTTCTTAATTGTTTACGTTAACAGTAACCTTGGTCTGTGCAACGATACCCTGTTACTATAGTATAGACTTGTGACGAGACACAATTTGACCAGTGATGTCATTGATCAGCGCTGCAAGTGGGGACGGAAAACGATAGGCAAAAAGCCGAAGCAATCTTAAGCGCAAAAGACGTGTTCAACTCAATTTCTACACGCCCGTATCGCTAGAGGTGTATCGATTCGCTAGGGTTACAATACTATATACGTATCTCGATATATATGTAGGTCATGATACAATATGTATCGTGATACACAGACAGAAACAGAGATATTGTAAATTACATGGTATGATAAATTTGTCATATCATGTACGAATACAAGGGCAGACTCTGGTGTATTTCATGACTGATTGGTTAATATTGTAATTTGAAGTTCAAATGAATTGTCAAATTCTATGTTATTTTAGTTTTATAATACATATTCCAATCTTTCATGGCATAAACGTATTATGAGTATGTCAAACCCATAGAAATATGTAGTAACCAATCGGTGAGCTCCCAGATATCTACGTACTGTTTGTGCTCTAGACTGACTTGTATTCACCAGCTCGACTCGCACGAGCACCATACACAGTGCGTGCGCAGTAACGACACGCACCAGTCAATCAGCACTTTCAATTGTAAGGACAGTGATTTTCCGCGATCGCGGGAAACGGACGGAAAACACGGAAACGGCCATTGGAAGCGGAAAAGATATTTTCAAACGGAAAAACTCGGAAAACGTAATTTGAACATATTACAACATAGAAATTTCAATAAAATCACAAAAAAACTGTCGACAATAGCATTGGTAATGATATGGTTTACATTCAGACAAGTTTCAGAGTGAAATGACTTACAATTACGACTTTTGGTAGCCCTGTGTTTCGGTGCCAACCCAACTGTCAGTCAGTGGCCTGAACATGCATCTAGGCATTTTTAGCTTTCTGTGGTTATTTTTATCATGAACACAACACATAAAAAAGCTATTTTCAGTAAGTTCATTTTCATTTTTCAGTACTGATAATTTTATTATGAACACATTACCCTACAGGTTCTTTCAAAGGTTGTACCAAATACCTTTTTTTTCATGCAAATATATGTAAATGGAAATTTGCATTTTTGGTGTGTACAATCTCTATGGCAAAACGGAATTTCCATTTTTTCTTTACTTTGAAACGGAATTCATGATTTTCCCAAATGGAAAAGGCAATTATTTGAAACGGAAAATCACTGTCCCTACAATTGTTTTGCAGTAACGCTTTTGGTGGCAATACAAGCGTACCACATATATTGACCCAGTTTTCTACGACAGGGAAGGATATTTATCTGATGCTGAGTGGGAGTTCATTCAATAAATTAATTCATTAGCAAGAATTGAATATAAAAGGAATTATTTGTGAGGTTCTGTACCGAGGTTCACCGATGTATCAGTGAATCGTTAGCCTACACCCGTACATAATGCATGAGTGAGCTAAGAGTACAATGCAATATCTCAGCCTAGGAGTGCCGTAGAGATAATCGGTCTTGTTTTGGAGAGTAAGGCATGAGCTGCGTAATGCAATACTATCAACTTATTATAGACTTGCATTTAAAATAAAATAATTTTGCTATAAAATAACACTATTTTCCCATTTTACCAATTATGCACTATGTACTCTTGGTACATATCATGCTTACTAATACTTTCTTCATTGTTATTTATTCTTATGATCGTAAAACACCTCTGAACTGCAGTTTTTAGCATATATGACTGATGAGCCATTGTTTAATTACGATGTTCTGCCGTTTTTGTGCATCAACGGCCATTGGTTGGCTCTAGTATCGAGCTTGCCCCCAGTATTTTGGTCAAGTGTCTCATCTTATTGTATGTACAGGATTTAGCAAGTACTCATAGTAACCTTACTGTTACTTGATTTTAAACAAAATGAGTGATTACCAGGGGTAGAAATAAGGAGAAAAAAAGAGATGGTCCACATGACCATCTAGTTTGAAATTTAGATGGTACTCCTAAATTTTAGATGGTCCTCCTAAATTTCAAATTGTTCTCTAAAAGTAATGCGGCATGCAAGCGTAAGAAAGAGATTTTACATGGTTATAAAATGGTTTAATTATTCACCTACAATGAATATATCAAACGATACAGTAATTGTTTATTCACTTTAATAGTATATTGGTTAATAAAGTTGTTTCAGTAGAATTTAGTTGAACCCAACTAAACGGAATACAGTATGTCTCAAATATTTCTTAGGAGCACATTCATTCATTTTTAGCTCACCTTCACATCGTCAAGCTGAGCTATTGCCATGGGTCGTCGTCCGTCGTACGTCCGTCCTTCCGTCAACATTTGGCTACGGTCATCGATAAGTTAACTCAGGAACCGTTCGACCCACATGTTTGAAATTGGGTATAGTTGTTACTGCTATGCTCCCATATTGAACGTCCTATTTTGGAGCACGCCAGTCGACGTACTTTCGAGCCACGGCAATGTTTTGGCAAAAATGGGAATTGCCAAGATTTCATTGACAATATCTTTAATGCAAAATTGGTATTTCCTCTCCACCCTGTCGATAAAACTTCTATATTAGAGTAAAGTTTTACAAAACATGTCGGAACGCAGCATAACCTATTTATTTCGAACGTCATCGCTAAGAAACATCAAAGCGGGTATAGCGCCATCTACCATCACAAATTGTGATTCATTTTGGTTTATAAATTATTATTGCGATATACAGATGGCAACCGTGTGCTACTGCCTAGAAAAATTCATACGAAGTAAACACTTCCATGCAACCAATTAACCTTTGACAAAAGTTGTGTTATGGGCAGGGAAACACCATTGTCACGTGGTATATAGCAGCTACGTGGAATAAGCGTATCCTCTCAATCTTACACGTTACACATCGGGAGCTCCGCTTTTAGGCAGTGCCTAAATCTGAATATTATAAAAACGTTAAATGGCGATCATTTAGGTGTAACGCCATCACTCGCCCACATCTCAGACTTTCACATCTCAAACATTTATTTTCACATAAAAAATTACACATAAAAATAAAAAGAATATAATGGGAGTTCTCCCATATATTCTCTTCATTTCTGTAATGTACGTCGATGGTCGCTCAATTAAAACACTTCTTCTCACTCACTCATTTGTGTCCTTTTTTGTGGTGAGTTTATTTTATTTTTTATTATTTTTGGCTAATTTTGTTTTATTTTAGAATTAGGGATAGGGTTAGGATTAGGGTTAGGGTTAACTGATTTCTATATCCACACCTTATTTCTATATTCACTATCTCTCCCCTGAGACCTACTACTCACAAATTAGCCGGAGCACTGCCCCGAGTGGTACTGTCCACTAGCATTAACTCTGGTGGCTGCTAGGATAATGTTGTAGGTAGGGGTAAATCAATCGCCGAGGACAATATATTGATCCGGTAAAACACCCAGAATGCAATTAAAACAAAAGCTGTATCAACAAATTTCACTACTGAACGTCCTTGTAATTTCATTACCATTTGGCCTGGCCCATTGATTGCAAAAATGTTATAGACTCTACTACTAGAGACTATGGTTATTGAATACTCAAATATATATAGTATAATACTATATATATTATTATATATTTACTTTCCAAGTATCCATTGTCTAATTTTATATTGCTTACATTTGATGCTTTGTCTAACCATATCATTGGCATGGAGGTTGCTGCTTAATATTCAGAAAAAAAACTTCAATTTTATTAGATTACGTTTTATGTTTAAAGATACATTGCTGCATATATATGCAAATTAAAACTGAGATTTTAAGAATTACGTAATGGAGTCAGTTCTCCGTCTTTGTTGTTATTATCAATTTGGTGGCATACACTTACACATGTATGGTTGTGTTGTTTTATTGTATTTCAGAGCTCATGTCATCTTCAATGTTGAAGCCCAAGTCGCACCGTAGCCGATCTTCAAACACAAAACCAATGAAGTATGTTCCCTGGGAACCATGCAAGGGTGCTGTTGGCAGGCTACCCGTTAATGGACTATGCAAAGTGAACAGAAGCTCTTCAAGAACCAAACATTCAGATAGTAGAGTAGATGATATGAAACAGAAGTTGTTTGAGATGAAGGACATCAGCCCCTACAGCTGCATTCACATTGACAGACGTTTGCTGGAGGGTGGCAGCGTAGATGGTGTGCTACCCACAGATAATTACACAATGGAATCTCGATCAACGGATGTGACCGATAGTGTGCAGCAGTGCTGGCCTGTATCACAGCAAAATGGGCCCTTGAAAGACGTGTTGCCAATTAGTGGGTCTGACAGAAGTTATGAAAAAATAATGTCATCTACCAGTATTCATACGGTCATGCCAGGTAGCACGGCTGTTGATATCTACTCTTCACATGGATTCACTCTTGGAGGAGAAGAGCTCGAGCTTAAACACAGACATCATCTGTCAGATATGGAAAAGAAGGTGTTGTTTGACGAAAAAGACGCTCTAGCCACACAGCTGCATATTCAGATCCAGGTACTTCAAATTCAATACCGTTCTGTTAATTTCTTATTACATTTACTGCTCAGGTACTTCCTGTATACTAGAGTCCCTGCATTAGAGACCCCAAGCGATAAGGCAGAGAAAACCTTCAGAAATCTAGTATGAGATGAATTAGAAGTCATTGGTATTTTGTGACACAGTCTATGACTCAAAGTGAAAACCCAGAGGACCCTATTTCAGTTTTAAAGAACATAGATTGGTAACATCACGATTGGCCTACTCCCATTTCGTCTACTCCTATTTCGCCTACTCCCATTTCGTCAAATCTCAGAATGGTTAATAGTGCCATTTTGTCTATGTTCATCTACCTAGTCAGTTTTTGGTCTACTCTTTCCCTTTTAAAGTAAAAGAGTATATTTGGGTCTACTTTGCCAGATTTACACAGAATAACACAGCTAGCTCAAGCATTGATTGCAGCAACACTTTATTTTGCATATTTCACATTATATACAGCATTTGGGCAATTCCAAGAAAAACGTTCACTGAAAGTAAAAACATTAATTGCCTAGTTTCATGTAGATTGCTTTTTAATGAAGTATAAATTTCATATTTTAATTCATACTGACTTTCATCATAACACCAAAGCTGCAGCTCACTGAAAACACTTGTGGTATGTTTATACAGTCTATGCAGTTTTGCACATAACTCGTAATTGTAGATGCTAGGTGTGAATTACATCTCTACAATACATTAAATGTTCATTGCGGGTAATCATTTCAATATTTGCTCACTCGATTATTTTTTTATTCAGGTGAATGCAGAGCTGAAGAAGTTACTAGTGGCATCTCTTGGTGAAGATCTGAATGAACGGGTTGACTGTTTGATCCAGTCAAACGCTAGACTTGCTACTGAGGTATCATCTCATTCCCACAGGATAAGGGGCTTGTATGAGCAGCTAGAGAAACTGTCTATACAGGGTGATGTGTGGCGAAGCAAGTTTCAAGCTAGCAGGTAAACAAAACTAGTTATGCTCTGTCTTCAGTGCATTTTTCTGAGATTACACTGCTTACAACTTATTTTCAAGGACGATGTGCTCTCCAAAATCATTTAGCTTAGGAAAATGAGATTTTTTTCACACACACACACACACACACATAAACGCCTGTCTTATCCTGTGTGATTTTACGTGATTTGATGTATGCAATTTTTTGCCGGTGTCTTGTTCTTCACCTGAATAATGGGGATTATTGACTGACAGTGAAGGAAGTCTATCAGTCTACTTGTTCCGAGTTTAACTGACTAAAGATGTACGCCCTGGAATGGCGGCCTTCTCGTAAACGAGGCTGCCCCAGCTGCAAAATTATTTGGACCAATTGGATAGATATATACAGTTGAACTTCGTTACTACATACTCTGTTTATAACGTTTACACTGCTACAACGCACACATCTCCAAAAGTCCCGAATTTGTGTAATGCATTATTCCATTTGCCAGTATTGTTTACAACGTACACCTATAACATAAATTTCAATACAACGTTCAAATTTTCACTGGAAAAATGCATACTGGCCTTCTTTACAACGTACAGCGGGAAACCTTGCAGCACGCAGCACTTTTTCAGGACTTCGCAGACGAAGATTACTGCATTTTACAAGTTGTAAGTAAACGAACTGATCCAGTGGCATCAGCAACATTTAAACTCATCCATGACATCAGTGAAATTAACGCGGGCGCTTTCATTTCTTTGAGTGCAAATAATGGGAACAAAAGATGGGTGTTACATTATCATTAAACTTTCATGTTTTAATTCTTGCGTTAGCATTCATTTTATGGGAATTGGTTACAACGAACTATCGTTATAACGTACTAATTCTTAAGGTCCCTGGAGGTACGTTGTAACGAAGTTTGACTGTATACGTATTTCATCTCAATCGTCACAGTTCTTGGTAACGTGAACGACAGGCAACTGACCCAAACTCCAGAATGCCAGGCCAATCTGACTTAAGGATACTCTCAAGGTTTTACGCAAGATTTTACCGATTTTCATTTTCGACTTTATTCGATGGCTAACACTATGTGCCACCTGTGTACATGCTCATTTCTCCATATAATGGTACATGTGAATTTTTAGAGCGTTTTGATTGCTCGCGTACACGTGTAGTGAGCAGCAGCTGACGTCACTGATGACGTCAGAGACATGATACAACCAGAATTTTAATGATATTTACTAAGCCAGTATCATTCAGCATCAACCCTCCTACAGCTGTCATCTGCCAGTGATAGTTGAAATTGCCGCGCGACCGAAAATAGCCCCGTCTCCCTTGTTACACACCTTGCATTTAGGCGCGTGTTTGTTAACACAGCTTAGTAACGGCATGCAGTACACATCGTACGCGCGTTTTGCATGAAAGTGCGGTGGTAACCTCGTAATTTCTACAATTTCTCAAGGTGCATGGAACATATTACCAATTTAGTGGTGTCAGTTAGTCATGGATATGTCGCAGTAAGTACTAACATTAGATATTTCACATACGTTCACCCATTTTGCACACAGGCGATCGATCATTGTGAAAAATAGAAAACCGCTGATTTCTCCGTTTCGATTTCTGACATAGTAGCCGATGTATAAATGGATATTTCTCTGTGATTACAACTCGGATTAATTTAATTTTACACTCGTTTTAATGGTACATATTGCTGTAAAAAAGTGCGTCAGGGATTGTTATTAAGTGCCGTATTTTATTAGTTATGCCTCTATTCGCTAAAATTTTCAATTCTAACACAACTTGATTTTTAAGCAGTTTTTTCCATTTTTCTCGGTAAATATGAAACTTAAAGAAAAATCCTGACGCACTATTTTGGTCCATATTGTGCTTAACATTTTGTATCTTCAATCTTTCTGGTAGTTGAGAAATATCCAAAATACCATTTTTACATAAAAATTCAAAATTTGTGTGGTAACATAATTAGGTGCCGGAAATTTCATGAAATTTGTTGGCTTGAGGATAGAGATATATCTCCTCTATAAATAAAACAAGTGATTGATTCGATTCATTCGCCAATAAACGTTTAATCTTTATTAGAGCAATACACGTGCAAAAGGTGGAGAGTATCCTTAAAGATTGGCTTCTTTAATTAAAAAGTTTAACCTGCTTGACATGCACATAAACACACAATATTTCAAACAAACATTTCAATGACTAACATATAAAATCTCGTAATGACATATTAATAATCCATAACAAATATATCATATAATATTATAACATATGCCACAAAATATAAAGAAATACAATAGAGTAGTTACACAGGTCTGTGTTAACAGCCTTCTAATTCTATTGAACTCGGTCCTGTTCATAACTGTCCTATGAATAATGTAGGACACTTGTTTTTTAGGCTCATGCTGAATGACATCTCTTATTTGAAAGGTGTTCTATGTCAGAAATACCAGCATTCACAAGATGTGCTCAGGGAGCTACTTACTGAACATCAGGAAATGAGACTTCACCTCATTCAGACATACAAGTAGGATTCACAGGCTACTGATTTAGTGTCGTTAATTTATTCGAACTTTATTTTGATCCTATTAAGTAGAGCTTAACTATGTTGTGTTACTTGGATTCATGCACTTAGCACATTCACTGTGAAACTCTAGTCATCTCATGAGAACAAGCAAAGTGCACCAATGCTAAACTAGTGAATTGGCTCATGGCAACATTTTGTATCCTATTTACCCTACTCTCTCTGTGTATCTGCAGGTGGCAGGTACAACGTGCCTAAAAATTAGACAATAACAGTCTATATGATTTGAACTTAAGTTTGTATTGGTAGTCATAATTTCTGACCCCAATGTGGTTTAAGAGCATTCGTTATAAACATGGCATCATTTAAACCATAGTAAGCCATGTTTTCGTATCAAAATGTAATTATGTCCGAAAACGATTTGCTTTATTTGAACCTGTAAGGTAAGATAACAGTCATGAAAATAAATTCATTAATTTGGTTTGCTTTCCAACAACAAAAATGTACATAGTAAATCAATATCTGACTAAGTGGAAGCTCATAAAAGTCTAAAGGCCACATTGAGCATACAGTCGACCTCGCCTAAGTCGACCTCGCAGTGTGCAAACAGCACGAAATGTTCTCATTGAGCCAGAGACGTGCTACAAACATAGGGATTCTCAAAATTACGTCGATGTTATGTCACATACCTAGCAGTAACCCTACGCTAGCGCAAATAGTTCCTGGCACGAAAACACTATATTTGTTTCCTGGTTACATAAGTAATATCAAGAGTAGATAATAACACAAGAGTGAGACACCCGATTCCCGCATTCGTAACCGATTTTTCTCATCAAAGTTTGCCACCAATAAAGAAGCAAGTGTATACGTTCCTCAGCTTATTATGACTACTAATTACTCACCTTCGTGGTACTGATATTTGTTTACATATATTTGCTAGCGTGTTGCTGTAACTCGTAATCTTGCATGAGCTGAATTCACACAATTTACCGCTATTGTGTGAGGTGTTAAGACAAAATTTGTAGCTATAGTGGCGCCAATATTTAGCAACGGACTGTTTCCAAATCATTCGTGCCCCGATGGTTTAAACAAATTTCACAATTTTGTACTGAATAAACATATAATAATGAATAATAACTTGTGTTATCATAGAAAAGAACTGTTAACGATCGCTCCACTGTGTCCCGGATGTGTAAACATCACTGTGGTGCTACTTTCGTAAGAGAAGTAATTTCGTTTAGATTTTGAGAAGAAATGTTATGAAAGTAGCAATACAAATGAGTTCTAATGAGTTTTGGCAACATAGACGAGCTCACAGTAGGTCTATATATATATGCATTTAGCTGCGAGGTTGAGCAACTTTAAAGGGTTTGTGACAAAAACCAAGCAGTACACTCCATAGCATTGCATAATATTGTGACCCCATCTCAAAATCTGGCCAAAGCATATAGTGTACTTTTAATAAGATACCCAAACTTTTACAGGTACCTGAAAGAGGTGGAAGAAGCATTTAATCCGTCAATAACATCTTATGGGCAACAAGAACCGTTGGTGCCCATTAACACAATGCAGTTAATTACTGCCAATCAAAAACTTTCCGACAGCATCAAGTTCAAGTTGTTAGGCAATGCTCAGTTGAGTTGTAGATTGCCTGCCAATGGAACGGATTGTGAGGCTGCAGCAACTCCTGGAGAGAATCGAGCAATGCAGGTAAAGTGCAGGGTTAAACATGAATCACCATGGTCCATACACATATTTCTTTATGCATAAGATCTTGAAATTGTGATAGTATGTCTGGATAATATGGTGATATGTTTAAGATTTTTTCCGGTATTCATATTAAAAAATTGTGAGATCTCACTAAATATTAGGGCTGTAATGATAACACAAGCCTCTCGATTCTATCCGGTTCTCGATATTAGCCTCTCGATTCGATTCCTTCGATTAGATTCCCAAAATATTGAAATGGTATCTTATTTTTTATATTTTCATTATTTTGCAATAATAAATTATTCGAAATTGCCAATGAATACTAAATGGTGAATAGACTAGAGTCTAGAGAGTACATATACACTGCACAGCTGCTGAGTAACATTGGTGAGTAACACCACACTCCACAGTATATAGCGTAGTGCCGCCATCTATTGGAGGGAAAAAGTGGTATCGAAGTGGAATCGAAAATACGTGGAAAAATATCGAGGATCGGATCGAGGGAAGAGAATCGCGATCCGATTCGATTTCGGTGGATCGTTACAGCCCTACTAAATATGTGTCTACTTTAATGCTTTAGTGTTTTTAGATTATATGTGCATTGCAAATTTGTTTACTTTTGTAATTCTCTACATTGTCAGGGCAGTGAAGTGTGAACCAGTGATTTTCTAAATGCAACTCTTCGCTTATAGGTTCTGGCCAATCAGATGCAGCTAAGTCCCTACCATGTAGGCTCGCTGGCCGGTAGTCTTGGAGGCTACCACCCTGGCAACCCTTGCCACGAGGTGACTGCATTTGATCGTTGTGCTCACTGCAGGGGAGAGATCTACATTGTGTAACGTCCGAGCTTGACGGGAGTATGCTGAAATGCATAAAACAACTAGACAGAGGGCACTCACGGAGAGTGCATACCTCCCCGCGAGCATGTAACATGTATGTGCTCGCTGGTGGCGGCTGCTGACTGACTCGGCACTCGCTGACTCGACGTGCTATCGATCGCGCCATGGCTACACACACACACGAGACCGATTACATGACCTCCGTTGCATCTCCGTTGCGCGGAGGTAATAAAGCACACGTGATATATCGTGTGGGTGTGTGGCCCACAAACTGTGGTTATACTTCTAAGGCTTGTATTAAACTAATGTTAAATTATCGGTTAGGAGGGCATCAGCCATTAGAATTGCATATAGGATTGTGTAATTGTAGTGTTGTAGGCTCTTGCCTCTAAACACTCAACTAAACAAGTCTCTTTCTGTTCATCACACCGGGTCTAAGACCCAGATGTTTATTATTACCGTAAAGTGTTATATACACCATACTGTCGCCAATCGTGTGTACATACAAGATTGCAGTAACATAACACATTGACTACACTACATTCCTCCTCTGCTTGCATTAAAAATATTATTTGTCTGCGTCAACTTTAGACTAATTTCTGTATCTCTATATTAGACACATCGGCTAAGCTAGACCTCAAATGAAAACGTTTACACGTCAACAAAACTTGTTCATCAGTTAAAGTTGATAAACCTTGCAGCTAAATGCATATATTATATCAAGAGCTAATAATACCTAGAGTGTACAACGGAAAAACGGGAAAATAGTGCTATTTCACGACAACATTATTCTACTTTGCCTGCGAGTCTATAATAATTTCATGGTATTGCATTAAGCAGAATTCTTTGCTCTCTAAAACAAGACCAACCGTTGTCATACGATATCTAGGGCGAGAGTATCGGCTCCTAAACCTCTTCGCTCCACACATGACCAAACGCGCTCGATCCACGTTCTGCATCCCATCCTGCACGCGGCTTAGGCTGCTATCGTGGATGAGTGGCGGTTTTTCCGCCATAATTTTATGAATGATTTCGGGTTGCAGGGGCAGGGTGGAGGTGACTTTCGGGGCATCGCTATGCCCTTATCTCCCATTATCTTTCCTAGCACGGCTAATGCCCGTCATGATTGGATGCCGGGCAATGTTTTTTTAATTAAGTCTCTACAACGCAGCTAGTAAGAGTACCAAATTTGGGCATGTGACATCAATTATCAGCGCTCCAAGCGGTGACGGAAACCGATAGCCGGAATGCTTAGACGCGTGAAGGATGGGGCAGAAGTGATGATTCGAGGCGGCGTTTGCTAGTGGGAGGGGAGGTTTAGGAGCCGATATCGTCGGCCTAGGAGTATCGTATTGACAAGCGGTTTGGTCTGTTTTAGAGAGCAAAGAAGTCTGCTTAATGCAATACATGAAGATTATTATAGACTCGCAGGCAAAGTAGAATAATGTTGTCGTGAAATAGCACTATTTTTCCGTTGTACACTCTAGGTATTATTAGCTCTTGATTATATATACCTACGGTGAGCTTGCATATGTTGCAAAAATTCACTACAACTCATTTGTATTGCATTCATAACATTTCTTCTCAAAATCTAAACGAAATTACTTCTCTTACGAACGTAGCACCACAGTGATGTTTATACATCCGGGACACAGTCACACAGCGGAGCAATCGGCTTGATTCATTAACAGTTCCTTTCTATGATAAAACAGGTTATAATTCATTCGATGTTTAACTCGGTACAAAATTTTAAAATTTGTTTAAATCATATCTATATTACTTATGCAATCAGGAAACAAATATAGTGTTTTTGTTCCAGGAACTATTTACGCTAGAGTAGGGCTACTGCTAGCTTTGTAACAAAACCGCATTCGACAGTTTTCAAAATAGTCAACTTCAGAGGACATTTCTGGCTCAATGAGAACATTTCGTGATGTTTGCACACTGCAAGTATGCTCACAGTAGGTCTATAAGAGCTTTTTGTTGCGAGGTTTATCCGTTTTAACATTTGGAAACAGAAACATCTAAGCTACTGGAACATCACAATCTAAAACCCATTTCTTTAGCAACTGAGTTATCCATGTTTAACCCTACAGTTTCTAACTTCGTCTGTAAGTTATTACGAATTATTAATTATTAAGAATGTACAGTGAGCCTCATCAAGAATGCTGGTGTTCGTTCGATGGTCTTCCCAGTTTATATGCAGGATTCGTCTGAGGCAGTGCTGATGATAAATTTCTATTGCCTTTAGATGTCGCCTGTATGTTGTCCATGATTCTGAGCAGTAGAGAAGAGTTGGTAATGCAACTGCTTTATACACAAGGATTTTAGTGTCCACTGTTAAACGTCTATTATCGAAAACCCTCTTGCGAAGCAGCCCAAAAACTGAGCCAGCAGCATGGAGGTGGTGTTGAACCTCAGCGTCAATATCTGCTTTTGACGAAAGGAAGCTGCCCAAGTAGGGGAAGTTCCCTACATTGTCTATAACTGATCTAACGATTGCGATGGATGGGGACGTAGCTATTTCACGTGGGGCTGTCTGGTTGAGGACCGGAATCTTCTTGATGTTAATGGACAAACCGAGTCTTCGGTAAGCATAGTCGAAGGTGCTAAGAATTTATTGCAGGTCTTTCTCTGAGGTAGCACATATGCAGTTCAAATGTTCAAATGGTTGTAATGTATAGATACGCAGTAAAATTATGGAAGATGCCAGCCATTAAAAAAAACAGTATTTAACAATCCAAGCATGCAACATCTAATAAAATATAGAATTTAAAATATTTTTTATTAATATATGAGTTATAGCAGTTTTTATAGACATTTTTGCATTATAGCTTGTAATATACATGGCCTGCTGATGTCACAGACTATAATCACATATTTTGGCAATAGCGTTATAGAATTATAATAGATTAAAACTAGTTGGATTTTGGCTGAAATTATGTCAGTTATTAATTCTCATAAATGAGAACATACAAAACAAATATACATGTGAAACTGATTGACCGATGTCACAGAGACTATTATTACATATTTTGTCAAACAGCTATATTTTAAAATAAAATAAAATTTATAAATAGCATCAAGAGCTTATTAAGAAGGAGAGCGTACAACGGTGAAATGCTGAAACCATGTTGCAGTATTAGTCGAATTAAGAAACTTTGCCCGTTTTATTTTGACGATTCTTTGCGGTAGTATTGATCAGCTGTCCTACCTTACTGATATAAAACAAACCGCTTGTCCCTACGATGCTCCTATGCTGAGATAATGAGCGGTGAAAATCTGAGCGATACACGCGAGGTTTCCCGAAGCTATCTCAAAGCGAGAGAGGGTCGCAGCCAAGCATTTGTTGGTTTGGTTATCTTGGAAATAACTCTAATGCTCTCCATGCGCATGAGCGCGTCCTTTACCTTTTTGTACAGCGGTATTGGGATGCGACGCGGCATTGAGATTGAGTACGGTTGCGCACTGTCCTCAATTTTTATCTCGTAGTCACCTTTCATCGTACCAAGTGATGAAAACAGTTCTGGAAATTGACTTTTCCACTTTGTAGCTTAGCATTTGACAGACCTCACTGCCGACACGAGGTTGAGTTTCCTGATAGATGGCTGGATCGCCAAGAAGTGGCTTCGTAAGATCACGAACGACGTAGATATCGTTTATCGCGACGCACGAACCTTTTTCGAGTTTTCCAAGAAACATCCCGGCAGTGACGAGTTTGGAACCAGCAGCTCATACTAGGACCTTGGCCGGCCTGACTAACTTTCCATAGCGTTCGCAGTATATTTTCAATGGCATACACGTAACCTCGGCACCTGTATCGATTTTCCACACAATGTTCGAATCCGCTATTTTTACTTTGCTTTGCTACGAAAGATCCTCCACTGTTTCAGATTGTACTGCTCCCATGAAAGCGGATGCGGGGTCACCCTCCGAACCAACCTGGTTGACAGATTTGCGAATTCTGCAATGCATTTTATAATGGCCAATTTTTTGGCAAAAACGGCATTCTACACTTTTGGCTGGACACGGCTTTTTATTATGCAGCGGTTGTCCACAGTTCGGACACGACTTCCAAGCCTGCTTTCTAGGCTGAAACTGCTTATGACTGCTACTACTATTATGCGGCGGTGTAGGCGGCAGACGTTTGGGACGCCTTTGAGCATTTTGACGTTTTTGAACTTTGGCTACCGCCACCGGCATGGGTTGCTTCTGAATTGTTTTGCTCTGGCGAGCCTTGTCCATGGCAGTTCTAAGCGACAAGTCTGCGTCAAGTTGCAGACGTTCTGACAATTTGCTGTCCTTAAGTCCTACCACAATCCTATCCAGGATTAATTCGTCATGAAGTGTACCAAAGTCGCACTTTTCCGCAAGAGTGAAAAGATCAGTGATGAACGAATCCACAGGTTCATCCTCCTTCTGGAAACGTTGATTAAATTTTGCCCGTTCGAAAATTACATTTTTCTTATGTACAAAATATCCATCCAGTTTGGCTTTAGTGAGTCCGTAACTCTTTTTTCATCCTCCGTTAGTTTCAGTGACATTAGAATGTCATCCGCTTCATCACCCATTGAGTAGATGTGTGTGTCTATTTGTTCTGGCTCTCTATTTTCTGAGAGACCAGACACCTGTCGGAATCTTTCGAACCATCTGATCCATTTTGACCAGCCCTGCGGCTTCGAAGTCGAATGACTCAGGTGGTTGGACTTGGAACTGTGCCATAGTCACTACCACAGGGAAGGGCAGAACGTTTGTAAAGTTCCACATAATATAGTCGGAAGTCACTGCTGATCCGAAAATCCAGTAGGATCGGAAACTAACAGCTTGTGTAGCATGCACTACGTTACCACATCGACATGTTTACCACATCAACATGGGCAAAATGAGGAAACCGGGGCATCACCACTGGCCTATTTACTGCCTCTACAGTCTTTTACGATTCTCCAACCAGAGCCGATGGGGGGGGGATCTCACGACATGATTGAAGGCTTCGCTTCCAGATTGCTGCTTGATAGTTGGCACGAGAAGCATGCTTCAGTAAGCAGTTAGCGCATGGCGGTAATTGAGTTGATTCAATGTTCCCCTTCTTGGCACAGAACAACCTGTACCTGAGCTCGTTGGTGTCGTTTGTGCTAGGTTGAGAGCTATACAACTGACATGTGAAGTGCTGGAGGTTTTCAACCACATCATCCGAAAGCTCATTCCATTCCTAACTGGACAAGTTGAAGGGCTCCAATCTTCCCCCGTCCAGAGAATGCGCTCACCATATCACATCCCGTGAAAGCATGCATACCAAGGAGGCATTTGCAAAGTTCTAGTCCTACTGCCTGCACTACACTAGAGATGCTGACATATCTGGTTCGTGTCTGTGTTCCACACTTAAAGTACATGGATATGGGAATAAAGTTCTTTAATGCCAGGCATAGTATGAATACCTCGGTATCTTCTGATGCTACGATCACTGACTCATAGCCATACCTGGCTGCATGAGCTGCATGGAGCATAAGCCTGGTGGCGGCTTCTTTGTGGGTTGAGGTGAGTTCTTCAGCCATCTCGGCAGGTGCTGAGGAAATCCGGTAGCACTT